AATCTGTTGATATCTATTAATCTGACTTACAGAACTAAAAATACTGTAGTTTTGGCCCGAGATGTACATGTCATGTTTGACTCTAGCATCTGGTACTCTAAAACTTATTTTCCAAAATTTTATTCAAGCTCAGAGTATAACCGGAGATTGTTTTGATTGATAGTTCAGTTTTAGAATATTCTAGGCATCTACATAACCTGAATATTTCTTTCATAGTGGTGTTATTGTTCGGGATCTGTCAGGTCAACTGAGGGCACGTTTGGGAGGGCTTCTCCGCGCCCTCTCTGCTGCCAGAGCCGGAGCCCTTCGGGTGAAGCCACTTTTCGTGGCTTTGCATCCATACGAGAAAAGAGCCCCGACTTCGTAATTTTGCGGCCAGAAGCGCTTCTTGGTGCGAGGGCATTTGGTGTGGCTTTGCCCGCTCCGACGTCGAAGCCAGTGGGGAAACCGGTGGAGCGGCCGCCAAACAGGCCCTAAATTTCTTCCCTTTGCTAATGTCCAACTCTGTTTTAAGGCCTGTTTGGTTTAGCACACAGGTAGGTTTCTAAATCATTGATTTTGAGCGCCTGGCAGGGGCGGATCTGCCGGGGGGGCTGCCGGGGCTCAAGCCCCCCCCCTACCCTGGCCGCGCCATTGGAGCCCCCCTCAGCCCCTCCATAAAAATTTCAGCCATTAACCACTAGGAAGGAGGGCTGGAGACGTTCCCGTCGCTGGTGACGGAGGTTGAAGACGAGTGGTGGAGTTGGTCTGCTTCCTGGGCCGGAATGTGTATGTTTCACTTTCAGTGGCCCACTAATGAAGCATGTTCACACCCCATCAAGAAGACCGACCTTTTTCCTTCGTTTCTCATTCTGTCGGTCACGGGAGCAGAGGAGTCGCACTCGACTCGAGCAACTGGGCGAGCGGCGGCGGCTCCAGCTAGGGTTGGCTCCAACCCAACGGCCGACGGAGGCGCCGGGATCCCGGCGGGTAGAGGCAGCAGCGGCTGTGCCCGCGCAGCCGCGCATCGTAGGCTCGCATCAGCCAGCAGGGGCGCAGCGCAGGGGCGTCGGCTAGGGGCGACGCCGACGTGGCGGTGACTCCGATGAGGGGCGACGCGGCGGTCGAGTAGGCGGCAGCACCGCAGCACCAGCAGGGCAGCAGCCAGCAGGTAGTATACTCTTTTTCTTTAAATTTGCCTTTTGAACTTTGTAATCGTTCAAAATTTGATTAGGATTTACTAAATTGCAGATTATTCAAAATGTCCAAAAGAACATTGCACACATATTTTTCTGGTACAAGTAGTACATTAACTCCGGGCACTAATGACAGCATAAATCAACCAATTCGGCATAGAGTGGAGTTTAGTCAATCCGGTGTAGTTGGTGATCCAGGAAATCGCATACCAATTGAAGAATATCCACCAGAAATTAGAGACCAAGTTAGAAGGGCATATGCTTTGAGATGTCCAACCCAACCTCGTAATCTTACCTTTGCTCGTAAATGGCAAAATGGTCAATGGAGATCATTTCAGCAAACTTGGTTTGACGAGTTTGATTGGCTAGAGTATAGTGAGTCGAAGGATGCAGCTTATTGCTTATATTGTTATCTTTTCTTTGATCCGGGGAAGCCTGAAAATTTTGGTAGTTCTGTCTTTACAAAGGATGGTTATACTAACAAAAAAAACTAAGGACAATCTTAATCAGCACGGTACTTGCAAGACTCACAATAATGCTAGGCTAAAATGTGATGACTTTATGAACCAAAGAACAAATGTGGCTAGAAGAATTGATGTAATTAGCAAGGATGAAGAGAAAAGATATGAGATTCGCTTGAACTCTTCTTTAGATGTAGCAAGATTTCTCATAATACAAGGTGATGCTTTTCGTGGACACGATGAGTCCTCTACTTCCAACAACAAGGGTACATATAGAGATGGTTGATTGGTACAAAGATAAAGTTGAGATTGTTAAGGATGCATACGATAAAGGTGCAAAAAATTGCACAATGATATCTCATCATATACAGAAGGACCTTACAAAAGCTTATGCACAAGAAGTCATGTCAGTGATTATGGATGAGATTGGAGATAAAAAATTCTCTGTATTGATTGATGAGTCCCGAGATGTATCAATAAAAGAACATATGGCTGTAATTTTGAGGTTAGTAGATGATAACTCTATTTTTTTACCTTGACTTTTACTTGTACACTTGTACTAACATGAAAAAAATATGGTTTGCAGGTTTGTGAATGATGAAGGGAAGGTAATGGAGAGGCTTCTTGGACTTCAGCATGTTGAGAGTTATACAGCTGCTGCATTGAAAGAAGCTTTGGTCAAAATGCTTAACGGTCATAAGCTACCAATCTCTAGGCTTTGTGGGCAAGGTTATGATGGAGCTTCCAATATGAGAGGTGAATTTAATGGTGTGCAAAAATTGATTCGAGATGAAAATCCTTATGCATTCTATGTGCATTGTTTTGCCCATCAATTGCAATTAGTGGTTGTTACTGTTGCAACTTCTACTCCAGCAATTGTAGATTTCTTTAACTATGTTCCTCTAATAGTCAACACTGTCGACGCATCATGTATGAGAAAGGATGCCTTGCTTGCAAAGCATCATGATGTGTTGTTAGAAAATTTGGAGAGTGGAGAGATTATCACTAGAAAAGGTTTGAACCAGGAATGTAGCCTAGCAAGGCCTGGAGATACTAGATGGGGTTCGCATCTTAAAACTTTACTTCGTATTTTGGTGATGTGGGAAGCTGTCATAAACATTCTTGAGATAGTAAAGAAAGACTCTGTTAAACCAGGAAATAATGGTGGAACATTTGGTTTAATTGGTAAAATGGAGAGGTTTGATTTTGTGTTCATAATGCATTTAATGATAGAATTGTTGAGCATCACAGACAGTCTATCACGTGCTTTGCAAAGGAAGGATCAAGACATTGTTGAGGCAATGCAATTGATCATAGATGTCAAAGAGCAGTTGCAGGATATGAGGGACAATGGATGGGATCCCTTATTCAAAAGAGTGAAAACATTCTGTGATAAGAATGAGATTGAAGTGCCAGATATGGATAAGGAAATAAATGCTAGAGGGACATCTACACGTAGAAAGCAAAAGGTAACAAACATGCACTTCTACCATGTTGAGGTTTTCCTTGCTGCCATAGATGCCATTTTGTCTGAGATGAATCATCGATTTGGTGAAGTTAGTTCAGAATTATTAGTATGCATGACTTGTCTTAACCTAAGGAACTCCTTCTCTAATTTTGATGTGGATAAGCTTGTGAGACTTGCTGAAATTTATGCTGCGGATTTTGACGTCGGTGACCTTCTTTTGCCTGGTCAACTGAGAGGATTTGTTAGTCATGCTAGAAGAACTCAAGGCTTTCTTGGATGTACAGAGCTTGGAATGGTTGCTGAAATTATAGTCAAGACTAAAATAAACACATCATATGGAATGGTGTATCGGCTCATTGAATTAACATTAATTCTTCCGGTGGCAACAGCTTCAGTTGAGGAGATATTTTTTGCTATGTCTATTGTAAAGACAGATTTGCGTAACAAAATGGGTGATGAATGGCTCAATGACTTAATGATATATTACACTGAGAAGAAGATATTTAGAAGCATCAAGAATGACAAAATCAGAAAACGATTTGAAGACATGAAAACTCGGCGTATGTTAGTGCCTCGGAACAATTTAGTGGTATGATTCATGAACTTGTGTCACTAATTTATTTTTTTCTACCTTTAAAACTTTGAAGTTAAATACAAGTTTCATTCGTCATTTAGGTAGCGCTACAGGCAAAATGTTCAATACCTATTCGGTATCTTCTTCAACAACAAGACCCAAGAGAGAATCCTTTCTGCAAATGGATTTCCAGGAGAGAGTATGCTCATATTTAGGTTGTGCCTCTCAGGCAACCCAAAATAGGTCTCCCGTATAGGTACTCTGTTGGAGGCTAGTTTTGAATCTCTTGCTATCCATTTTTTGTTTGGATGCTCATATGAGTTCCTTGCCGGAGACAGTCTGAGTCACTCCATTCATCTGTTCCAAGGGGATAGTGTAGCTTTAGCTGGGTAGATTAATTAAGAAAGCGAAGGCTTGTCATATTTTCTTCATAGTATAGATATAGCATTATCCTTCTTGTATTGGATTGTATCTCTTTTAATATGATTATTATGTTTTTTTGTTTTTTTTAATTCTTGTATTGAAGTATGTTTGTACGTATTTTATTATATATTATATCACTTGAATTTGAACGTTAAATGTTAAATATAAATACATTACGTATGACGTACATATGTGGTTGGCTTCATGTTTTTTCTTCGTTCTTATTGGCTTCATGTCTTTCTTATTAAGAAAATGGCATGACCAAGTAACAGTGTATTTGGGTTTTCTTATGATGCAGTGGTATGCAATTTATCATATCTATCAGCCCTTTAATTTAATTTCTTAAATTAACGTGGTAATTTATAAGCATTTTGAGAATTAATGTGGAGACTCTTTTTGTTGTGCGTAAACATACAAATTGGCCATTTAAGCGGATTGCTCCATACATACTGTAAATCGTTAAATTTCAACGGATTGATTACCAATATTTGTCCAAAAAAAATGTGACGATTACGTACGTTTACTTGTACAGTTGTACTCATCGTAATTTGAATTATCCTTACTAATGGAATATCCACGTCATCCAGATTTTTAACTGCACCCCTAGCTAACTTGGGCCCGGACACACTCGTGTAATCTCAGTTCTCCCTCTTGGCCGTGGGACCCACAAACAGAGCATATGCTCTCTAGTGCACATTTACCCACGACCGGCAGGATCCCAACTACTTTCTTTCTTTCTCCCTTCCCAACGAGGACGAACACCTCCGCCAGATCATCGCACCGCCTGGGAGGTCGGTGACGCTGATCGCCTACGCTTCTCTCCTCCCTCCCTCCCTGCCTTGCGAAGGAGCGAAGCCGATCGGAGTCGTCGCCCTGCGCTGCGCTGTGCGGAGGAGGAGATGCCGGACGACGAGGAGCAGGCGGTGGTGGGGGCGGGGGCGCCGTGCGGGGCGTGCAGGACGCTCCGGCGCAGGTGCGTGCCGGGCTGCGTCTTCGCGCCCTACTTCATGGCAGATGACTTCGCGGCCGTGCACGGCATCTTCGGCGCCAGCAACGTGTCCAAGATGCTGGAGCGCATCGAGCTCCCCGAGCAGCGGCGGGTCGCCGCGGCCACGCTCGTCGAGGAGGCCAAGGCGCGGCAGCGGGACCCCACCTTCGGCCGCGTCTCCTACCTCCGCATCCTCCAGGAGGTGAACGACAAGGCCAGGGAGCAGGTGGACGAGGCGCGGGAGGAGATCGCCAGGGAGTTTGGCGCCCTGGCCGCGGCCGAGCCGGTCGACGTCGCGGCCCCGGGGGCGGCGGTCAGGGTGGAGGCGCGGGCGCAGGTCGAGGCCGCGCTGAAGCACGCCAGGGAGCAGGACGCCAGGCTGCTGGGCGTCCGGAAGGCCAACGAGGCCAGGTGGAGGGAGCTGCACGAACCGGGCACGGGGACGGGGAGGAACGCCGGGAACGGGAAGGGGCCCAACGTCATCAAGCGCCACCGCGAGCCTTCCTTGAGCGAGCAGACAATGCTGATGCAGCGGGCCGCAAAGCAGCGCAGCTCCAGGCCGCCGGGCTTCCCTGACGAGCGCTCCCACCAGCAGATGGCGGTGGCGGAGGCCGAGAGGGAGAAGGCGCTCTTGATGCGGCAGTCCGCGCCCGCAAAGCAGCACGGCCTCCACCACCTCGCCGCGCAGCACGCGGAGACAGAGCCGCCGCGCGTCCCGGAGGTGTGCGGGCACGAGCAGCTGCACCAGCACATGTCGGAGGCATCGCGGGAGGAGGCGATGAGGTCGGTGCAGGCCCCGCCGGCAGCCTCGCCGCAGCGCCTCGATTCTGCGGGGCAGCACGCTGGGACAGGGCAACCGCGCCATGCAGGAGATGCTGCTGCGGGCAGAACGCCGGGACAGTGCAGCACCTCGGTTCTGCTGGAAGCGATGATGCAGCTCGCCGGCACCACGGGCGAGCAGCAGCAGCACCACCACCTTGTGGCGCAACACGCCGAGAACGAGCACGACATCACCCAGGAGATGATGCAGCTGCAGGAGTTGTTGGACATGGCAGAGCTCGCCAGAAACCAGCAGATAATGAGGAATGACGTGATGACGGAGATGGGGCAGTGGGACGCGGCGGCGGGGGGCGCGAGGGAGCAGGACGTGATGACGATGATGCAGCAGTTCCCGGGCAATACGTGTCAGCACCATGACCCCTACCCGCAGTATGCTGGGATGCGTGACGGACTGACGGGCCCCAGGACCAGGAGATGCCGCAGCAGAAGGAGGAAGCCTCCACGGCGGAGCTTGCCGAGACGACGGGCAACATGTCGCAGCAATTCGCCTGGGCGCAGCAGTACCACGACCCTGCGGCGGTGCACCACGCGTCTCCGTGGCACCATCAGATGGCTGAGGCGCACCAGCCGGCTGCCGCGTCCGCGTCGCAGGTGGCGAGCGAGCAGGACATGCTGCTGCTGCTCCAGCAGCACCAGGTCGCGGCGGCGGAGTTGCTGTCCGCCGGCGGCGCTCGTCAGTTCAACAACCTCGCCGCGCAATACGACGACACGGAGCTCACGCTGGGGTACGGCCACCCGGACATGCACCACCAGGTGGTCGCCGCGGGGCAGGTTGCCGGAGTGCAGGACATGAACGCGCGGCACGCTGCCGCGGCGGTGCACGCGGAGCGGGAGATGATGCAGCTGGCCGCGGGCGCGCAGCAGCAGCACCAGCAGCAGCAGCAGCAGCACGCTCAGAATGGGCTCGACATCGCCCTTGGAAACGGCCACCCGGACCGCGAAACCCAGGCGATGCTGAAGGAGTTGGCCGCCATAGTAGAGCTCGCGGACGAGCGGGCAATGATCAGGAAGCAGTGGGAGCAGGACGTGAGGACGATGATGACGCAGCAGGACCCGGACGCTGCGTGGCTCCAGGAGATGCTGGAGCAGATTGAGAAAGCGTCTACGCCAGACCTTGATAAGAGGCTGGAGATCATGTCGCGGCAAGCCGAGGCTCGGCACGCCCAGAAAGAGCTCGGCATCACCCTTGGGAACGGCCACCCGGACGGGTCAACCCAGGGGATCCTGCAGGCGCAGGAGTTGTCCGCCATGGCAGAGATGGAAAGAAAGCGGGAAATGCTCATGAGGCAGGTCGTCGCGGCGGGGCGCGCTAGAGAGCAAAAGCTGGAAATGCTCATGAGGCAGGTCACCGCGGCGGGGCGCGCTAGAGAGCAGGAACTGATCACGCAGCAGGCCGCCGCAGCGCAGCAGCAGCAGCACCCCGTGGCGCAGTACTCCGGGACAGAGCTCGACATCTCGCTGGGGCAAGGCCACGGCCACCCGTACTGGCACCAACCGACGGCGCAACAGATGTTGCAGGAGCAGCAGCTGCCGACGGTGCAGCAGATGTTGCAGGAGCAGCAGCTGGCCGACGCGGTTGGATTCGGCAGGCACCAGCACAACACGACTTTAGTGCAGCAGGACGCGGCCTACGCGAACGGTGAGCACAGGGGCGGCGCCGGCACCACAATGGCGTTCCTGTCGCCGGGGTCTGCCAAGGACGGGTCATTCCTCGTCGACCAGCAACCACAGCCAAATGGGCACCAAATGGATTCATCTCTGGCGCCGCTGCCGCCGTCGTTGGGCCAGCTGCATGCCCAAGCGTCGCACCAGCAAAGAACGGATGGCGGTGGCCAGGGCCTGAACTCAGATTTGGCGGCATACTTGCACTATGAATCCTTGTCCAGGTATTTTTGTTTCTTCTTTCTTACCCACACTTTACAGTTCTTGATTTGGCTCTGTGGTAATTGTCTTGCTGTCTTGCAACGTTCTTGTTCTCTGTACTCAAAACGATGCTTACTGCCAATCCGGTTCTTAAAAGAAAGTAAAAGACATGTTCACTGCTTTTTGATGTTAACTCTTTAGCTATATCACTTGATGAAATTTTGTGAGTGGAAGTGCAACTTGTTTGAGAGAGCACATTCTAGATCATATAGTATTGACTTTGTTCATTCATGTGGTGTGTTGACTGAACTCACAAGTTGAATGAAAATGAGAGAGAATTTAATCTTGCTGGAAGTGTTTGGTTGTTTCATATTATTTACATGAGATCTCCTTCTTGGTCATCAAACCCCAAGAAACACTGCAGACTGAATTCAGAGATTCAGTGCGATTTTATCATCAGAGCGACCTTTGAGTTACAGTGTGAATTTCTCATTCATGTTAGTGTCATATGGTGGCTTCATGAAACGGCGATCCTGATGATGATAGGAGCAGTAAAAGCATAATTGGGATCCTAGCTCTACTGCATTTGCATTGGAATTAACCTGACCTCCTGGATTAGTATAAATTCTGGAGTGACAAGCTAACAGAACATGTACCTAGCAGATGAGGAAAGTTCTTAAGAATAAGTTCTTGCAATTCATTTCTCAACCCGAATCGTAGCGTGGTTAACTACTGCTTATATTTAATCACGGCCTTCTCTATTTCCTGCAGGCATGGATTGGCTGGCAACGGCAGGCTTCAGCAGGGGTAGCGAAGGGTCCGGAGAGGAGATGAGGCAGTTGTCAGAACCAGATGAAGTATTTGCATCTGAAAAGCAGAGTTCCTATTTTGAGGATATGTTGATGTCATACTCATGTATGCTGCCTGAATTTTGAGGATGGTTGCACGGATGCATAATTCAGTTCGTTTTGATGCTCGCGAAGTGATGTTTTGTGGATGAAATTGAGATGGTTATATCGGATTGGATATTTGGATCCTATAGTTTGCTGTTGCAGATTGTATGCTTTTCAGTTCTCAGTGATTGGTTGTTGCCCAGTAAATTTTCTCAGGTAGTGTAAATGAAGCAGTGATCATTTGGTGTTGGTGGAATGTATGTGTACAGATATAAAAATGGGGCTGGAAGAGCTGGAAATAAATTGCATGAGCGACGGGCGCACCGAACTGGCCATGCGCCCCCCAGCCCGATGAACGCCGCGTGGGCAGGGAAAAAAACAGCATGTTCGCTCGGTCATATTTAGCTTATAAGTCATAGTTTATCAGCTAACAAATAGTATTTTTCTCTCACACCAAATCAGTCAACAGTACTTTCAGTCATGGCTTATCAGCCAAACAAGCCCAAATGAACGGGACGAAAATCAAGAGCGGAGAAGTAGGAGCCACGGACAAGCACGAGCCGCAACCTTTGTACGTGGCTAGGCATGCGCGTGTGCCTGATATAGCCATCCCTTCGTGAGCTTTTGATGTTGGAGGCTTTTACATGTATGCCATTAAAAAAGTTTGTAATTACACAGAAGCCATTAAAAAAAGGTGACCGCACACAGGTGCCACTGTTCTAAACTTCTTTACCTTACAAGTCATTTCGTCCTTATTCTGTTTGTTTTTCGCCGTTTGATGTGGGACCGGCCAATGAAATTGTCCATGTTGCCCTTGGACGCACAAAAACATTACCTCTCCTTCCTCCGCCCACAAAAACATTTCTCCCCCTCCGACTGCTACTGCCGCTGCCTCCTCCCCCCTTTCCGCCTGCCTTCGCTCTCCCCCCTTTCCGCGCGCCCTTCTCCTCCGTCTAGGGTTTCCCACCCCACAGCCGCCGCCGCCGCCCGATCCAAGGTAGATGCCGCCAAGCAGCAGCCATGGGCTGCCCGTCCCAGCCCCGTCTAACTCAAAATGCGCACACGCCCATCATCTCTGGTCAGCTCCGCGCCCACCTTCCTTCTCTCTCTCTCTGTTACGTGTTCGCGCCGTCTCCTCCAAGCGAGCCTCGTGCCGATGGTGCCTTGATCTGTTCCGGCAGGGATCCATTGCACCGGAGCTCTGGCGTGCTGCTGCCCGTCCCGCTCATCACCGTCCCCTGCGTCGACGACCTCGTGTTCTACTTCCCTAGGGACACATCGAGCAGTACACCTCATCTTCTTCCTCTTGCTCTGCTCCATTGGAGCTTTAGCTCGCTCCCTTGCTCCGGGCGCTGATTTTGGGTCTTTGGGGCTCTCGGTGGAGGCGTCCATGAACCAGGTCGCCGGGACTAGATGCGCCTCTCGATCTGCCCTCAAGTTGCTCGATGCGTGCTCAACGTCGAGCTCAAGGTTCCCTCCTCTTCCCGCTGTTTTTTACCCTCCCCGGGTTTTTCGCTGCCAATTCCGCGTCTAGCGCGCCGCTTCCCTGCGGCGAGCAATTCCAGCCCGGTGCTTACGCATTTTCCGGGTTTTTCCAGTGGAGAGCGAACACCGATGAGGTCTACGCGCAGATCATGCTCATGCTAGAGCCCGAGGTAGCCTCCCAATTCGGACGGCACGTGTATCGGGAAAATTTCCCTCGGTACTCGGAGATTCTCACTTGCTCTCGCTCTGTTTGTTCGTTCATGCAGCAAACCGATGTGGCGGCTGAGAAGGCGAGTTCTGCGTCCGCTGCGTCGCCGAGGCCAACAGTCAGGTCCTTCTACAAGACGCTCACTGCCTCCGACACCAGCACACACGGCGGCTTCTCCGTGCTGCGCCGTCACGCTGACGAGTGCCTCCCTCCACTGGTGTGTGTTCTTCACCCCCTGTGGATTTGGACTATGCTACTAATAGAACTAAAGATGCGCAAGCTTCTGCGTAAGATTTTTCTCGTCGGGTTAGCTGATCTTCTTTGTTCCGTTGGCAGGATATGACGCAGTCGCCAATGGTAACATGGACAATTTCACTGGCCGGTCCCACACCAAACGGCGAAAAACAAATAGAATAAGGACGGAATAGCCTGTAAGGCAAAGAAGTTTAGAGCAGTGGCACCTGTGTGTGGTCACCTTTTTTAATGGCTTCTGTGTAATCATAAACTTTTTTAATGACATACATGTAAAAGCCTCTTGACGTTGTTTCCAAGCCACGTGTCAAAGATTCAGGCTAGGGGCGCATGGCCAGTTCGGTGCGCGGTGCGCCCATTGCCCATGTAATTTATTTCCGGAAGGGCTGCATTCGTCTCTCTCCGAATGCTGCTACTTTCACCCGTGTCTTTTAGCAGAGGTCTTTTCATTTTCATTACATGCTGTGGCATTTCAACCTGGGCTCGGCGTGATTACATTTTTTTAATTTTTAATCAAATAATACTTTTAACAAAGATCTGGCAAAGGTAACATAATTTAGCATTCTCTGCTTATGTAGCCTCGTGTTTACGGGTCTGCTTTAAGTTGTTATCTTCGGCAGTACTACTCAAAGTAGTGTCGTATTCTTTTTTTATTGGAACCTCAAACTATTTCTAAATCATCTTTCTCTCTCTTGTGTTTTCTCACCCAGAATCATGTCTTCTTTCTATTTCTTTTCCCCACACCCTCTTTCGCGTAGGCACAACACCAGTGCGAAGAGGGGAACTGCCGATTCGGCCTGTGTCGACCACGTCGGTGGCAAATGGCAAGCCGACGAGTTGCTCTTCACCCATGGTCCTCCTGGGGCTAGCCACAGCTCGGCCAGAGGGAGCACGGACGTGGCAGGTTACTGGCGAGAGGGACCAAGTGTATTTGAATGGGACATGGGGTGAATTGTGGTGGCGGAGGAAGGCAGCATTAGCGACATCGCCTGGGGAGAAATCAAGTGCAAAATAGGGGTTAGGGGGGAGAAGGCACCGGACGGAGAAGATGATGGGTGGGCGGTGAGGTGGTAGGCAGGGATGTTCCAGTAGGGAGGAGGCGGCACCAAGTGAGGAATAAGCACTAGGTTGGTAGTAACTGAGGCATAGCGGGTGAAAAAAACGGCGCAATGGAAGCTTAGAGACCCCTACTTGATCCGTGAGAATGAGTTAGGTTGGTGGAAGGGGAAGGATTGAAGTAGCTAACAAATATGTGGGACCAAATAGGTAACTTACTAAGGATTGATTTTGTTCCACTATCCAAAATATAGATTAGAATTGAACCCTATTTAAATAGTCTGCCAGAGATACTCTTAACTTCTTAAGTTAAATAGCTTGGCCATGCTAAACGAACTCTCAAATTAAGTGTTGTGATTGTGACTTGCAAGTTGCAAAGGCTCACGACTCCCCTCTCCACCTATGGATGGATATTGCCATATTGGATTCCGTCGGAAAAGTTCAATTTTACCTGTTTAAGATATTGTCATAATTTATTTTTTATTGTTAAAATTCAAAACTAGACATTTTATCCTTTGTTGAATTCTCTGAATTATTTTACCTCTTTGCTTATGTTTAAAGTGATTATGGGGAAAAATTTTGTCTCCTTTCTAATTTTTAAAAAATTGGTAAATAGTTGACAAGGTTTTTAAAAATAGAAAATGATTTTAAGCTTCTAAAAATCCTCAGGAAAATCATAAGGATAGATAAAAAGGATCCAAATTGTGCAAATATATGTTGGTGCACTCAATTTCAGAATTTGAGATTGTTTCGTAACTGTGGATATTTGAATTACTATTTGAGTCTTTTTGCACCAATTCGTAAGTGCTCTATATAATATTTTTCTGTGGATTTCTAGCTAGATTAGTTGCAAGTTGATTATATAATAGTTTTCTTTATCAACTTATTTGTATATGTGATCAACTTTATGTTGCTAATTATCTTGTACATCATTATATTGCACCGGTTTAAAGCATTTGTCGGCGGTCCAATTTATCCGGTTTAAAACTATCGAACCAGCGGTTCAACCGGTGAAAGGTCGAGATGGCGATTAGAGAGGGGGGGGGGTTGAATAGTCCTTTTTAAAACTTAATCGCGTCGGCTAACCGAAACAAGTGCGGAATTAAAACTATCGGTCTAGCCGAGACTACACCCCTCTATCTATGTTCTTTAGCACCTTTCAAATATACTAATTAAGCAATTAAAGTGCCGGGCTAGTTAGAGCTCACCTAAGCAATTCTAGGAGCAAGCTCACACAAACCTATGCCACTAGTACTTTAAGCGACAAGAGAGCTCCTACACATGCTAGTAAGCAAAAGCACAAAGCCACCTAAGCTCACTAGCAATGCTCAATAACAAGGCAACCAATGTCAAATTAGAGAGCGCAAATACTTAGCTACACAAACTAAGCAATGTGACTAACAAGGTTACTCAAACCAAATTAGCCACGCAAGGGAGCTACTTCTATGCAACACAAGCAAGAAGGTAACTAATATGCTACACAAGCAAACTAATTACAAGAGCAACTACACTAGCTTAATATATACGAAAGTAAATGCAAGCTTGTGTAATGGGGAAGCAAACCAATGGGAAGAACAAGGTTGACACGATGATTTTTCTCCCGAGGTTCACGTGTTTGCCAACACGCTAGTCCCCGTTGTATCGACCGCTCACTTGGTGGTTCGGCGGCTAATTAGCATCACCCGCTAAGCCCGCACGTCGGGCGCCGCAAGAACCTACCCCTTGAGTGAGGGTAGCTCAATGACACGCTTTACTAAAGTTGCTCTTCGCGGCTCCCGCGGGGCGAGCACAATGCCCCTCACAAAGCTCTTCTCCGGAGCCCCGCACAAGCTTCTTGCGGGCTTCGACGAAGACCACCACCAAGCCGTCTAGGAGGTGGCAACCTCCAAGAGTAACAAGCACCATCGGCTTGCAACT